GTATTCTCGTAGCTTCGTAATATTACGGTTGAACCCCTGATGTCACATGGATTATTTTACAGATCTCCTTGCTACGTCTCTGGACTTGGGAACATCTCAGTTGCATTGCTGTCTATGCAGAGTCAGACAGCTCTCAGATTCCATCAAAAATATCTTCATTTGTGTTCCGAAGATGAACGAAGGTCTTACGGGTTTGAAACAACATGAGGGCGAGTAATTAATGACAGAATTTTCATTTTTATAGTGCCATGAAAACTGAAATAAAAATGAAAGTTTTAGGAATAAAGTTGTAAAAAAAGTCATAATATTGTGTAAACAAATTAGAAATATTTAAAGAAAAAGAATCACATTATTAAAAGAAATGCTGTGATTATAACAGTAGGAAAAGGCCTGCCTCAGTGAGCTTCTGCAATGCAGGAAACGGATGTGTAGGATTTAGTTAAACCTTACATATACAGGATAGGATTTACCAACAAAGCAGTTCTTGGTTTTCTGGCACATCAGCACTGGTTTATCAATAGTATCCGGACACTGCAGCGGTTATGTAAGAAAAGGAATTTATTCAAGAGAAAATTTTTGACAAACATTCAGGAAATTGCCTCTTGCAATCTGAAACCGCAACCAGTGGTTGACTCCACTCTGATGCTTTTTTATTTACAACTTAATTATCATAGCTAATATCATGCCATTAATTTCATAATGATACAACTTGATTCTCATCATTTTGACTTTATTCTCAAAACATTACAACTTCATTTTTGAAATGTGATTATTCTGGCAAAAGGCCAATTATAAGGTTTTTTTTTGTGGCACTAAAAAGTGCAAAGCTTTAGAAGACTTGGAATATAAGCCATATTAGCCACCTTTCTGGTGCTTTTTAAACTTTTAGAAGCTTTACAACTCTTGGTCACTGTATAAATTCGTTGTATGGAAAAAAAATCCTAATTCTAATTTTTTTCTCCATGGAACAAAGATTGCCATATGTATTTGGAACAAAAAGAGGGTGAGTAAATAATGACAAAATTATTCTTTTTGGATGAACCGTTTCTTTAACTGAAACTCGATCGTTGTCAACTTACAAAATTCGCAATGATGTAATGATATCCTTTCACATGTCGGCCGATCGTAATCACCTGAGGAGAAGCAATCATGAACATCATTCACAAGAGAGATTTAATTCAAGCGTCACATAATAAATGTTAAAGGTGTACGCGGTACATCATTCTTTAACTACATTCCTGACCTTACACGTGTGCTGTAATGGGTTTTTAGTACGTCATTCACCTGCTCCATAATGTCCTTGACTTTGTCCTGTTCACAGTCTAAAATGACTCTCCTCTCTTTCTTGTTCTCCAGGTCCTGAAAGAGGGAGCGATATGCCTCGTCTCTCCACTCATCCTTCAGGTTTCCGACGTTTATGGCTGTTACCTGCCATTTCCTCTCTGCCGCTGTGTCCAGCACTGCCTGCAGGGTAGACAGACCTACATAGAGAGAAACACACAGCAGCGTGCATGTGAGTGCTTCACATCAAATGTCTGCATCAAATTTTTCATCAATCTGCTCAAGCTTTAATTACCTTCCTAAAGTGTAATTGCTTTAAACCCCCATGTCTACTAGCTTCACTGTGTCTTTTTAAATGAGATTCAATCTCAATTACGGCCACTCTCTGTTTTAACCACTGTTCTACTTTAATCAACCACTACTCCATAATTACGCCCAGAGACCTTGATATCAGGAGTATTTTTTATTGCTCTTGAAGGCCCCTTGGGACACTTTTTCTCCTTCATCATTTCTCCACCTCGCTCTCTTTATTTCAGCGTTCTCGCTTTTGGTCATCTGCACTTTCATAGTCCTCTTCTCTTAAGCCTCCCTCCTTACTGCACATCTCTCCCTCCTCTCCCTCTCTATCTCTCTCGGTTGATTTCATATCTAGGTCTTGGGGGAGAGATTTATTTTGCTGCCTCAAACCAGAGATGCAGCACATAACGGATACTCCAGTCAACATTCAGAAAGCATTCAGCTAACATAGTCGCAATAACTGAAATTTTGAGACTGCAAAAAAAATGTTAGGTAAGAACTTAAAGAAAATGTCCAAGACTGAGTTACGATATTGTGATGTTTTTTTTAGCCTTTTTTACAATACTTGTTACATTGAAATATTGATGTATTGCTTTTGATTTGATTATTTAAAATAGATGTTTTTTCAAATTAGAAGAATCATCATTTTGACCAAACAGACTTTGTAGAGTTGATTCAAAACCTGAACATTTAAAAATGACTATTAACTAACTATTAACCATGACTTTTGCCTCTATAAACTCCTAAGTTGCTGCTTATTAATAGTTAGTAAAGTAGTTGTTAAGTTTAGGTATGGAGTAGGATTAGGGGATCTAAAATATGATCATGCAGAACAAAGCATTAATATCTGCTTTATAAGTACTAATGAACAGCCAATTTGATAGTAATATGCACGCTAATAAGCAACTAGTTAATAGTGAGAATTGGTCCTTAAAATAAAGTGTTAACCACGATTTCTAGGTTTTGAAAACTCATGGAAAATTTTTCTTGCTTTGCTTTAAAATATCTTTTTGGATAGAAACTGCTCTTCATGAGTGCAATACCAATAAAATAATAATAAAATCCAGTAGTAATAATAATAATTATCCAGTAATAAAGCTGGATTGCAGTAACAACTGGAAAAGTCATGAAAATTAATTGGTCAAAAGATGTGGGAAACATTTGAATTAATATAGGAAAAATGCCACACACAGAGTTTCATAACCATTTTTGAATCACAATCCCCCTAAAAAATCAAGCTTTATATAAATTCACTGAAACGCACAGACACATGTTGACACTCTCATACTGAGACAAGAAAGGATTGTGAAACAAGTCATGAGGAAACTTAATGGCCAAATAAAAATTAGAGCATTGACGATGTTACTTCAATTTACAGTATATATTCAATATTATTGCCCAGCTGTAATGTAATTATGTAATAAACAATAACATTGTGTCCTAACCAGCTGTGACTATGACAAGTGACTACAGAAACTTGTCATTTGCTTTGTTTCTAATTTTGTGTTATCATATTTCACAAAACAGATCAATATTATCTGATTGGCAATGACTGTATCATGATGCACAGCAGTTTTACATTCAGTTTGGACAAATAAATTGCTTGTCAAGAGAAACTAGTCTAAATAAATAAATGACAGATGAAACTGCAATTAAATAATTAAAAGATCTATAAAGAGAGAGAGAGAGAGTGACTGTAAAGTGCTTATCTGTAAGCACTCCCAACTCACATGCTCTTTCTCCAAGAGGCATTTCACCACAAAGTAATAGGACTATTGATTGAATTCTCTAGTGTATGTGTGTTTAAGTGTGTGTGCAAGCAGCTCTGACAGAGCCTTGGCTGAGAAAAAAAAGATAAAGAATGCATACATTTCTCAAAAGACAGATAGAGAGTGTTTACCTCTGTCGCTGTCATATAGATAGGCAAACTTCTCCCACTTGTAATACTCCACCAGACTGATGAGAGGCCCTTTGATATCAGGCCTCATCTGCAGAACAAACTGGTTAAGTCCATCAGCTGGAAAACTGGGCGTGATGAAGGACACGTGCAGCGTCTCGCAGAATGACGTGATGGTGTTCACTGACTTTTTATCGTAGAAGCCAAAGATGGCATACACTCCTCTAGAAAACTGTGAGCAAACTGAAAAAAGAAAAAGAAAAACAGTAATATACAGTAACTAAATGCTATATGATAACAAGATGTTAAATTTCTGGTTGATACCAATAAATGCCCATATCAAAATTTAAACCTTTTTTTTTTTTTTTTCTAACACAAAAAAAAAACACTTTAAAACACAACATTTATTTTCTTCACATTCACTTTTTCTAGTCAAGTATAGTCTAATCCAGACACAATACCGTTCAATATTATTATTATTATTAATTACATTATTAATTTTATACAGGAAGGATCCATACAATTGATTAAATGTGACTAAAGGCATTTGTTACAAAAAAAAACTAATACAAAATCAAATGTTGTTTTGAACTTTCTATTATCAAAAATGCTGAAAAAAATGCATCATGGTTTCCCCGATAATATTAAGCAGCACTACTGTTTTCGAAGTTGATAATAATAAAAAATTTTTTTTGTCTACAAGAAAAATGGATATTCATTTTCAGATGAACAGTGTAATTAAATTATTTATATTTTTGTAAATTAAAATTGAGTTTGACATTTTGATTTAAACTTCCCAAAAAATGAAAATGAAACATATGCATTGATAAATCATTTCACAATACAATTAATGCATTTAGAAAAGTCATAACATAACATTTCATTTCATCTCGACTTTAAGTGAGCATTAGATGATTCCAATGGAAATCTAAATGCAAAAATTGAGGAAATTAGCACTCCCAATTAAATATACAGTGTCACAAATTAAGCGTTAGCATTAGTTCTGGCAAGTCACGTGAGTCAAGCTTGCATCAGCTGATTCTCAGCTGATCACATCTACCTATAGGAATACGACACCTATCGCGGCATTCCTATATAAGCTCTATTCAGTATTATTCAGCAGCTTTTTAGCTTGCTCCGGAGCAAATTATCCCCCTCCATCCCCAGCTCCTCCTTTCGCCACAGTCAGGACTTGGCTTTCTGATATTCCTTGCTAATCAGACTCCTTTATCTTGAATAAAGTGTTACACTTAAATATCATTAAGTACATTAATGATATCTGCCTTGTTCTGTTCTGTTAACCCTAGGGGGTTAACTATTGCTGCTCTCCCTGCTCATTCATGACAGGCTGCATGGATGGGCAGGGAGGTTTTTGCCCAGAACAGAACCATACCGCCAAACCAAACTTTATGCTAAGTATCTATCATTTTGACGATAGTGGTCCTGACAGAATTAAAAAAAATACAGATAATTTATAAAAACAAATACTTTGAAATCGGCCAATAATAGTGTAACAGTAATTAGATTATGGGTAGTAGAGCTGGGCACCATTGTGACCAAAATATTGGTTTGCAGTTTTATTTTTACTGTATATTCAAAGCAAAAATTGTATATAACTATCTTACATTAGAAATAACCATGTGAGAGTGAGTTAAAAACAAATGAATGCTTCTGCACAAATAAAAGGTACTTCTCAGTTGATTATTAGCTCTTTTTACTTATCTTTTTACAGATCTTAACAGAGCAAACAAAAGACAATTATTCATAACAAATGAATTGAAGGAGGAACATCTGAAATCATAGAACATTTTTTTTCAAATCATTGCAATGTCAACATTATTTTGCAACCAATACGTCATGTTAAACCCTTTGATACGTTCTCTGTTTTCACATTACTCAATGCTTCTTTGTTGCAGTCCTGCCCACTAATAGCCATGCAAATATATAACAAATATACACACTAACTCAAACCACTGCCAACAACCTAAAGTATTTAGTCTCGAGTCTCTTATTTTGACAGAAGCCACTAAATGATCTACACTCTAACCAATAAGACAGAAATCCGTTGGAGAACACACTTTGCAAGTGTGTTTGCAAAGTTGGACTAATAGATCTACAGTATATAATGAGATTGAGGCTTCGTCCAGCATGTATACATATTCTTGAAATATTGCCCCCTAATAGAAAAGCTAAACTCTGACTCTGGTATAATTAGTCATTAAATACTGACTAGTAATCTGAATATTAAGACACACACGCACACAGATAGGTTACATATACTGTTCTTTTTTTTTATGTGTTCTTCTTTGCTTATGTAATTCCATGTGCATATTTACAGTATGTGTGCTCATCGAACTATGAAACATATTCATAATCCATGCTGCAACTTGTGCTCACACAGAGTGATCTGCAGACAGTCTGTATGCAGTCGGAAAGCTAAATATGAGACTTTGATCAGCAGTCACACGGAACAGTAGAGAGAGCCTGCTGCTGAGTCTGAGCTGGCACTGCCACACATCAGGGCTTATGGGATATGGCTGTGTGTGAATGGGGTCGCACACATACATGCTCTGGGGATTCATTTGTGTGTCAATTGCTCTAGCTGTCTAAACGTGTTGTCAGTACAGTAGGGAATTGCAATATGGCAGTTTGTATGCCATATTCATACTGGGAATCGTGACCAGAAAACAATGTTCTTCCAGCATATTCTTCCAGTATAATCAAAGTGGGGATAATAAAGGATAAGTAATAACAAATATTTCTGACAAACGTATGCTCGTTCTACACTCAAAAAAAAGCAGGTTCTTTAAAGGGGTCATATGATGCGATTTCAATTGTTCCTTTCTCTTTGGAGTGTTACAAGCTCTTGGTGCATAAAGAAGATCTGTAAAGTTGCAAAGACTAAAGTCTCAAATCCAAAGAGATATTCTTTATAAAAGTTAAGAGTCAGCCACGCCTACCTAAAACGCCTCGTTCTAACACGCCCCCACATGTCTACGTCACGATGTGGGAAGATTTGCATAATGCCACCCAAATGTTCACGCAAAGAAAAAAGGCGTAACTATTATTCTCGCTGTAGTATTGTTGCCGCCGCCATGTCGTGAAGGCGCTGTGTGTTTCGTTGTGAAAGCGAAACTACTTTGTTTGGTCTTCCAAAAGAGGACGATATCCGCTTCGTCATGCCTTGACAGAATGTGGAAAATAATGTGTGTTTTAAACTTTAAACTGCATAAACACATTTCATTACACCAAATACACAAAATAATGTTCTTTTTAGCAACATCATATGACCCCTTTAAAGTGCCCCTATTACGGGTAATGAAAGGTTCATATTTTGGTTTTGGGAGTCCCCTACAACAGGTTGATATGCATACAAGGTCAAAAAACACTTTCATTGTCTTATAATATGCATTTATTTTTACCTTACTTGCTCATCGACTCCCAAACGATTCGTTTAATGATTAATAAATAAACTATCAACGCTGAATTGACTTGAGCTGAATAATGACACTATTATCTTCTGTAGAGCTGCTTTATAGTTGAGTTCACTTCATAATTAATGAACTTTGCAACACTGTTACTGAACCAAATTTAATTAACAATCAACTAACAGCTGAAAAAAGACACTATTGTCTTTTAGAGCTTTTAGAGATATGATGGCACATCAATTATGTTGCACCATGTTGTGACATTGCACCCATGAACAAATATCTGCTCGTGTCACAACCCTTGATAACAGGCTCACCTCTTAATAACAATGACATTATGCCTTTTCGCCCACTACTTTCTTATAATCTCACTTTTGACTGATTGATGGCCTCATCTGTCCTCTAACAACACACAATCATCTTTAACCTTCAAAAACATGTTTCCTCTGTAATGATCACGCCACATACACATTCCTCATTGAAATGTCGACTATGTTCTCCTGATTAACTAATGCTTTAAATGTACCCTGCTTTACTCTCTCTCTCTTTCTGTTCCTCAAGGTGATTGCAGATTGTTGGGATTGAGGGACAGTCAGTAAAGGAGAGAAAATACTCAGTCACTCATTTTTCATCCTGTCTTCAGCACTAAATCCTCCACACCCCTTTCTGGACACGCTGATGTGAATATCTTTAATATAGCACACACACACACACTCACACCATCATCATACTGCCTTCAACATGCTGGTGGTTGACTGTGCATGTGAAAGAGACAGATTTAGATAGCAGAAGTGACTGATATTATATATATATATATATATATATATATATATATATATATGCCAGCAGAAACTGCCATTTCGGTGTGTTTTATGTATTTTTATTTCATAGATACAATGTAAATTGAATAGAAAAATTTTTTTTAAATTAGAATTTTAAAAACCCTAATTTAAATAAATGAAATGGGAAAAGTGTCATCTGAAAATTTCAATTCCGCTTAAAAATTTGGCGTCTGCAAGATTTTGAAAGTCTCTTATGCTCACCAAGGCTGTATTTATCTGGTCACAGTAAAAGAGTAAAGAGTAATATTGTTAAATTGTTTTGTATTTTAATATATTTTCAAATGTAATTTATTTCTATGATGGCAAAGCTGAATTTTCTGCATCATTACTCCAGTCTTCAGTGTCACATGATCCTTCAGAAATCATTCTAATATGTTGATTTGTTGCTCAAGAAACATTTTTGATTATTATCAAATTGAAAACAGCTGCACTGCATCTTATTTTTGTGCAAACCATGATACTAAAATATTTTGTTACATTATACCTTTTTTCATTGTTACTTGTGATCAAATTAATGCATCCTGTAATTAATGCATCCCCTCAAAAAATAAAAATAAATAAAAGCAGTAATGTACAGTCAGCCTGTCATTATTGAAAAAAGACCCTGACATGGTGGTCTTGTATCATCCTGAAATGGTTTATTTTTCAATAATAACTGGCTGACTGTACATAAATGCCCGTGAAATATTGCTTTGAGTTGAAAAATTTATATATTATAATATTAGAATGTGACAAGAAATGAATTTAGTTACCTGGCAAAACAGACAGATAAGTTAGCATCGAAAGGGAAAAAACCCTGTCCACATTAATGCTGCGATTAACTAACTAGAATCAAGAAATCCACAGAGCCGTGGTGTGTTCTGATTGTTGGTGCATCACAATAGAGGGCTGTTGTTGTTTGGTGATAGCATCTCATAACTGGCAGCAAGCTGGAGGCGTATATGCTCAGAGTTAACATTAATGTGTTATTCAACCTAACTATTGAAGGAAAGCTGCTGGATTCCATGAACACACTCTCTAATATCATCAAGGAATATACATAAGCAAATGGGACTATCCAAAAACAATCATGCCATTTAAAATCTTTGAACAGAATAACAGAGACTGCTGCACACCAAAGAATATGATACAACATATAACAGCAAATACAATGCTGAACTTTCTAGAGCACAAATCTGTCGATTGACTTGGCATGCAGTGGTCCTCACAGTTTTTCTTTTTATGTTTTTTTTTAAATAAATCAAATGTTAAGTTACACTTAATGTTGTCACATTTTCCTGCTTGAATAAGCATTACCAAATACAATTCATTTTTGTATTTTTACATTTACAGTGTAATTAATGTTCTAATTATTAAAATTAAGTATAAATCTAATCAAGTTAGTGTTTTTAAGCATCTTTCATTTATTCCAAAATAATAACTCAAAGCAGTAACAATTTAAACAATATATTTTATTTGTGAACTGATGCTCTGCTGTTCTTTTTAATAGTATTTTCGGAACGTCAGTCATCAAAGCTTGGTAAACACTGGTCATAGACACTGAGATGTACCTTTAATTCCACCAAGCTGATTGCTCACTAGAAAACCCCAAAGATCATGTTTTATCTGTTGTGATATGTAAGTGGGTGAGTTGTTTACTTATTTTTTAATTAGTCTTCCCACTAACACCATCATTTTGTTCATTCAGACGGATTCGTGAACGCGGAACATGCACGAAAACAAGAGGCGGGATTTATCACATGAACCAATCATAGTGCAAAAATAGAGGCATTGCCTCATCTCACATCATATTTTTTGCAATATTTGCTTTGTTTGATTTGGTCACACTTTAGTTTGGGGACCAATTCTCACTATGACTTCTGCCTCAATAAACTTCTAATTTGCTGCTGATTAATATTTAGTAACGTAATTGTTAAATTTAGGTATGGGGTAGGATTAAGGGATCTAAAATATGGTCATGCAGAATAAAGCAATAATATGTGCTAAGTACTGCTAAACAGCCAATATTCTAGTAATATGCATGCTAATAAACAACTTGTTAATAGTGAGAACTGGTCCCTAAACTAAAGTGTTCCCTTTTATTTTTGTACTATGAATTATTTACCATCCAATTTCTTGAGGAGGCATTGCCTCCCTTGCCTCCTCAGAGGAAATGCATGTGGGTAAATGCAACAGCAAAGGAAATTCCTTGTGTGCAGTAAACATACATCACTATATAGGTCTTGGCATGATTGTGTACAGCAAGACAAAATAATAGGCCTACTTATCTTCCAGGTGCAGTGAACACATGTTCTATATTTGCAGGCCCAAAGCAGTAAACACAACTCCCCATTCCTCACACCTTCTTACAATCAAATGCCTAAACAATTTTCTAAATGTTATGTACGTGCACCCTGCAGTATCACTGAGATTTTCCATGCATGATTTGTGTATGTGTGGGACGGGTATGTGGGGGTGGGCAGGCCATTCCCATGAATCAGCAGTAGTTCAGGCCATTGACAGACGCAGACTTGTCGCAGTGAAGCTCACGTCGCAAAGCATCAGTGTTTGACATCAAAAGGAGTCATGCAGACTGAGAGACATCTCATTCAGGTTAATGGATTGGGTGAAAACTAAAGAGGCCAAGCTAAGTGTCTCCGGAGCCCATTCAGGTTTGCGCGCATCTTGTCTTCAGAGACCTCATTCAAGCAATGCGTTTGTTCAACTTGTCATGCATTTTCATAGATTTCTATTTTGAAATGATGTCTTACAATGTGCAATTGTTAAACAAAAGGTAGTTTAATATATCTATAAAATATGAATTATTCCTCAAAAGCCTGCTTATTAGATTCCATGCTGGTGTAAAACATTCAACTTGTCATGCATTTTCATAGATTTCTATTTTGAAATGATGTCTTACAATGTGCAATTGTTAAACAAAAGGTAATTTAATATATCTATAAAATATGAATTATTCCTCAAAAGCCTGCTTATTAGATTCCAGAGTAGATCGGAATCATTTCTGTGAATCGGTTCTTGCGAACAGTTGGTTTCAAAGCATACAGTAGTTTAAAAATGATTCAATTATTCATTTGCGTCATAGTGTGGATTCTGACATTTCGTCGTGACATTAAAAATGCACCTAAACATTTTTTTATATATGTATGTAGCACATACATATTGCTGTTTATTATGTTTCCCCCCCCCCTCGGTTCAGTTTGTTGAAAGCACGATTGAGTCCATGCATTTACATTTATATCAAACTTAAATGCATTTATATAAATATAAATAGTGATCTGACTCATTTCTGTGACTCGGTTTGAGAACAGTTTGTTTCAAAGAAGTGTTAAACAAATTATTAAATTGTTCATTTGTGTCATGCATAATTGACAGTCCCCCCCATATTATATTATAAACGCTCTGAGACATTTTTTAGAAATTGTATGTAGCACATACTGTATTGATGTTTACGCTTTTTTCCCAGTTTGGTCTGTTGTAGATTCAGCACATAAAAACATAAATGCATTATAGAAATATACTTTAAATCTCAAAGACGTTTAATTCGTTACATTTTGGCCAAACAAGTAACTTTCCCCCCATCAAATGCTCTTGGTATCAGTTCTCTCATTCGTCCTCATTGGCTTATTAGGAACATGTTGGAAAGAGACCGTTCTCAGTTCAGTGAATCAGTGAGTTGTTGACTCGGACCGATTCAGTCCGATTCGTGAATGAATCGTTCAGGCCGGTTTTCTGAATCCATTGAACAGTGAGCGTGTCTGGAGAGGCTGTGTAAAAAGCCAACAATTTGAAATAATCTTCTAACCCTTTACATTGACACAAACTCACACGCACTAATAATTAATCACATTTTTGAATCATAAAGCGTTTCTGCTCTTCAGATGTAAGATGCGTGGGGGAGGGAAGCGCGCCAGGTCCATTTTTACGCCCTCGTGCCTCGCTTGTCATAAACCCTTGAATGATATATATAGCAAAATAAAATAAAGAGAAATTCGACCGTAAAACATTCGAAAACGACAAAAGGCACTTAGATCCTTTCGAGGGAGGCAACCTGCTGTTTCATTTGCCATCGAATTGTGCAGATGCTGCTAAAACGGGGCCATCTCCTCTCCTCCTCCGTTACTGTGGAAACCATCATCATGCTGCTCCCGCGAATGCCAATTATCACATCCCCCGGAAAACCGGTTTACATAACCACCATCTTCCCAGCGCATAGTTTGGACACCTAGACAGCCAGAACCAAAATGTGCCACAGCCGAGACTCACTAGAAGCAAAGTGCTTGAATGATAAACCGATTGTTTGCCAACATCCAGCCCCCGGTCCTTTCAAAGGCTGCGTATACAGATAGCACACCAGCGTTAATAATAGAACATATGTAAGCAGGCGAATAGGCATAACACACAGAACGTGCCATAAAGCTCCTGTAATATTTACCGCGGCATGACTGGAGGATGAACGGATAATGGGGAGGGAAACTAGCAGCCCTATGATCACACTTGTGCATGGGGAGGCTAATTCATAACAGCATCCAGATTATAATATAGAAGAAATAAATTAGTTCAAGTGGGGAAAAACTCCAGCTTGACTTACAGCAATTAGTTATGGCGAAGCTGTTAGCCACCTCCAGGTTATCAATGTGAGGAGTGAGGCGGAATTCGCTCGTGCCGAACTGAACCATTCCGATCCGAAACGCGCTGTACTCTTGATCTGCTCCTCTGGGGAACAGGCCACCTGAGAAAAGAATACATTAAAACACGATTCAGAATCAAATCATGTGAAGCATCTCGTCTCATATTCCAAATTTAGACATAATATATCGCTTTATCGCGAAAATCTCACATGGCACATAAGAAAAAAAGACGTTTGGTATGTATTTTCTGCTATCAGACGTTTCAAGTCGAGATTTGATGCCTGTGAGCTAAAGGCGTAGACAGGTGAAGTGCGCTCACCGATTTGGACGCTTGGAGATCCGCCGAGCGCCAGTCCCCATAACGCGAGGAAGAGGAGCCCCGACAAAATCATCGTCTTCTGCTTATCCACCAAACGCGCACTGTTCACAAAACAGCGGGCACAATATAGAGTCGACACATGTTAAAATTGTTACAGAGTTAAAACGCAGAGGCTCTCGTTAGACCGCGGTGCTGGTGAGCGATGATGCGGGAGTCTTGCCCTCCTCCTTTGCGGCTCCGTCCCTGAGAATCGTTCCAACTCCGCGGACACGGTAAGAATACTGATGAAGACGAAAAAAGCCGAGCGGAGCCGAAGCTGCTGGGACTTTGGCTCAGCTGCTGTAGGATTGCGATTCGTCGATCTTATTCATTAGCGTAATATATGTCGCGTGATTTCTTATGGTTATGAATTTATTGAATTAGAAAACGCCTAATGTGTGTCCACTAGAGTCAGAGTGGTGACAGATGTTTCCCTGTAATCCAATAGGTTTGGGCTCCCCATCTTCTGAAATACATGTGATGAACAGCTTAACCACCTTCACCCGGACTCATCAATAACTGATATACACCTACACTCTTAAAAATAAAGGTGTTTCAAAAGGTTCTTCAAGCGATGCCATAGAAGAACCATTTTTGGTTCCACAGAGAACCATTCAGTCAAAGGTTCTTTAAAGAACCATTTCTTTCTTGCGTTTTTGTAATCTGAAGAACCTTCTTTCACCACAAAGAAGCTTTTGTGAAACAGAAAGGTTCTTCAGATGTTAAAGGTTCTTTATGGAACCATTTAGACAAAACGGTTCTTCTATGGCATCGTGAAGCACCTTTATTTTTAAGAGTGCATTACACATATTACTAGCTAGAATGGGCTCCTTTTTTCAGACCAAAGACCTTTTGGTGGGTAAAGAGATGGACCCCTGTATAAAATTGAGTGTTGCATCTTAAAGGAAGAGTTCACCCAAAAATGAAAACGTGCACTTTTCACTTTTTCCACACAAAACAATTCTCCTAATCTGTTCCAGTGAAGAAAAAATCAATCTACATGTTGGATGGACCGAGGATGTGTACATTTTCAGCAAATTGTAATTACTGGGTGACATAATCATTTAAGTCTAACATTTTGTACCATATTAATATATTTAGATACTTTATTATGGTGCTGCTTACATTAAAATAATCATTTATCTGACTGATTAACATATTTATTTACATTATAATTGTGCTTAATACATTTGAATGTAGAAGGGACAATAAAACATTTAGCTGAATTTCTTCACTGTATTGGTTGATGTTAACTTAATATTTTTGTTTGTTTGTTTTGCACATATTTAAAATTTTCCACAAAATTTGTATGAGATTAAACATCTTGGTTCTAGAGAAATGGGCCAGTACAAAACATCTGACCCTGGATCTCCTTGTGCTTGTGAGCTTTTATGTAAAGTAAAGTCTATCTGTCTGTCATGTAAAGTAAGGTATGCACGTATACTTTTCAAACAACAAAAGTAGAACTGAAAATAAAGTTTAGTTCTAATAAACAACATTGCAATTTAGGTCACAATGATAAGGCATTTATCGTATCAAACAAATGTGCAGACATTTTAAACCAAGAATATGGCACAGTATCGGTACACAGCCAATTATAAGTAAACCACTGACTTCAACAAACCATAAAACAAAACAAGATTAGGTTTAGATATTGAAGAAGACTAGCTTCCGGTTGCTGTTGTTCTTTATAAGCAATCGTCCCATACTGCCCTATCTGGCATTTCAAAATCTGCACGCAGCGAAATGATTCCCAGCATGAGCAGCAGAGAGCAGTGAAGTGCTGTCTGTGGAAGCCTGACCCTACAAACACTGGATCCATATCTATCTATCTATCTATCTATCTATCTATCTATCTATCTATCTATCTATCTATCTATCTATCTATCTATCTATCTATCTATCTATCTATCTATCTATCTATCTATCTATCTATCTATCTATCTATCTATCTATCTATCTATCTATCTATCTATCTATCTATCTATCTATCTATCTATCTATCTATCTATCTATCTATCTATCTATCTATCTATCTATCTATCTATCTATCTATCTATCTATCTATCTATCTATCTATCTATCTATCTATCTATCTATCTATCTATCTATCTATCTATCTATCTATCTATCTATCTATCTATCTATCTATCTATCTATCTATCTATCTATCTATCTATCTATCTATCTATCTATCTGTCTGTCTGTCTGTCTGTCTGTCTGTCTGTCATCTATCTATCTATCTGTCTGTCTGTCTGTCTGTCTGTTTATCATCTATCTACCTATCTATCTATCTGTCTGTCTGTCTTCTATCTGTCTGTCATCTATCCCCGTCCATCTATCCATCTATCTATCTATCTATCTATCTATCTATTGTCTGTCTGTCTGTCTTCTATCTATCCCTCTGTCCGTCTATCTATCTATCTATCTATCTATCTATTGTCTGTCTCTCTATCTATCTATCTCCCTGTCCATCTATCTATCGTCTGTCTGTCTGTCATCTATCTATCTATCTATCTATCTATCTCCCTGTCCATCTATCTATCTATTGTCTGTCTGTCTGTCTTCTATCTATCCCTCTGTCCGTCTATCTATCTATCTATCTATCTATCTTCTGTCATCTATCTATCTGTCTGTCATCTATCTATCCCCCTGTCCATCTATCTATCGTCTGTCTGTCATCTATCTGTCTGTCATCTATCAATCTATCTATCTATCTATCGTCTGTCTGTCTTCTATCTATCCCTCTGTCCGTCTATCTATCTATCTATTGTCTGTCTATCTATCTATCTATCTATCTATCTATCTCTCTCTCGATCTGTCGGTCTATCAATCGATCTATCTGCTGTGTGCTATAGTCTGCAGTGTACATGACCTACCATTAAATGTTGAATATAATATGCATATTTTGTATAAGTTAGATTTTGTATAAGATTTAGCCAGTTGAATGATCAACCTTGATACTCAATTTGCCCATGTTTCCAACATTTGTATGTATATATAGAACTTACATAGAATGTTACAGATGTGTTAATTTTGCTACAAAGGAAAATATGTCTATATCTGACTAGGTCTGGATGTGATATTTTACAAGGTTCAGATTATATAAGTCAAAGAGCTCAACGTACATATTTAACACAACCAAAAGTGTAGTGCAATGCACAGGCATGAATTAATAGGTCAAAATTAACATACTAAAATAAAACATCAGAAAATAATATGTTGTTTTGTTATATAGTTTACCTTATACTTTAAATAATAGCTGTATAATCTTGGCAAATAATGGTGAAATTAATGTTTCCATTGATTAAACCCAGTCCTACAAACACAAAAGTATTTATTCCTTAAGTATTCAACTAGATTTGTATCTTCGAACAGCAATACTGTAAAATAGTAGGTATTCTCTTTTTCTTTCTGCATAAAATGAAATGCTGTGACCGAGCCGTTGTCATGACACTGAACATGTGTTTTGTTTCCAGGCGGCTGCACACAAGAATCATCACAAGTGCAGCGTAAAAGCAGTTAAATATGGCTAAATATATGCAAGAAAGACAAGATTAATGAATTACTCTAATAGATTTTGAAAAGACAACCAGTTTAAATCAGTATGGAAATATTACAATGATGACTGCATTCGGTTACAATTTGGGTACTGAGCATTGTATCAAAGCACGGCAAAGGGAGATTTTGACAAATACTCTTCAAAAAAATTTGGAAGGTCTATTTGTTAGGTTTGTATGAGTTTGTATGTTAAGCTGTGTCAACAGTGCAAACATCTGCTCATCCAAAATAACAGAAAAAAGAGAATGTAGATGATGAAGGATCTTTATTGTATGGCTGGATAACGGCAGTTAAATCCCTTCTTATTACAGACTGGTATGCAATAACCTATTATAAATACTGCATGCTGTCTGGGTCCAGATCTGATACAGTCTTTCTTTCCATAAGCAAAATTTTGCCTGAGTTTATAAACAATTGACAATTATGGATGTTTTTACATGGGACATCATGGACATTTAGCACTTTGGACCAAACATGGCTGAACACACTGTAAAGTCATGCTGCAAAGTTTGCTCGTATTAAAGATACACATTTCAAAAAGCGAATTACGAGGAAAAATACAAATCAGCAGGACTATATAACTGACATACCAATATAACAGACATCAAAGATTAAAAACGATGAACATTTCAAATGTTTTGTTCATGCTTGATTATCACCCTCATCAACATAAAAGCACACGCACACACACATATTCACACAAGTACACTTTGTGATGGTCACAGGTAGACAGACCAGTAAATAACATTGAAGAAGAGGAAGGTGAAAGGGAACAGAGCTCGCGCATAGAGATCAACCCGTTTAGCAGCAGACGGAATGACAGGTTTCGGAGGCGGCGGCTTCTTGTTGCTCTTGTTCTGTGATTTGCCGGCGGCGTCTGTGACCTCTATGGGCTTGCCGTAACAGTCGAAGTTTGAGAGTTCGAAATCTCGAGGAAGAGAACCGACAATACTGAAATCATTTGAGCGCAGATCAGATTTCGAAGTACACACCTTCTTACAGCGGTTTTCCACAACCTACACAAACACAAAAGACATTTGAATACAAACAAGAAAATCTATCTATCTATCCATCCACCCATCCAACCATCTATCTATCTATCCTACATATCGCTTATCCATCCATCCATCCATCCATCCATCTCCTTGCTTCTGTCCGTCTGTCCGTCCGGCCAGCCATCCTATACATCTCTCCATCCATCAATCCATCATCTATCCATCCATCAACTATCTAGCCATCCATCCATCCATCCATCCATCAACTATCTATCCATCCATCCATCCATCCATCCATCCATCTGTCCGCCCATCCATCCATCTATCCTACACATCTCTTATCCATCCATCTGTCCGTCCATGAATCCATCCATCCTACATATCTCTCTCTTATCCATCCATCCATCCATCCATCCATCCATCTATCTATCTGTCATCCGTCCATCCAGCAATCCTACATATTTCACCATCCATCCATCCATCTGTCCGTCTATGAATCCATCCATCTCCTTGCTTCTGTCCGTCCATCCATCCATCATCTATTCATCCATCTAACCATCTATCCATCTATCTATCTGCCCATCCAACCTACATATATCTTATCCATCCATCTGTTCGTCCATGAATCCATGCATCTCCTTGCTTCCGTCCATCCATCCAGCCATCCTACATATTTCACCATCCATCCATCTGTCCATCTATGAATCTATCCATCTCCTTGCTTCTGTCCGTC